TATGTATCTTAGCGTAGTCTACTTGTGTGCCAAGTTATATTGAAATCAGATCAAAACTGTAGGAGGAGTAGCATTTTGAAAGAATTTCACAGAAATTTCTATTTTTAGTAACAACGCCAAGACCGTTCGTCGAAATCAAAATCCGATACATAGAATTATGTATCTAAGTGTAGTCTACTTATATGCCATGTTATATTGAAATCAGATCAAAACTGTAGGAGGAGTAGCATTTTGAAAAATTGTTTACAGACAGACGGACAGACGGACGGACGCCGGACGCATTACTATCGCATAAGCTCTTCTGGTCTCTGACCAATAGAGCTAAAAACAATCAACTGAAAACTTAATACAATTCACATGCAAGTGCCTAGTTATGTACACTGTATTTTATGGTGAAAAACGAGTGGGAGGTTTAATTCGACGACCATGTCTTGTGTGTTGGGAAAATTCCATGAATGATTCTTGTTCATAAGTAATATTTTCTTGTGAGTCGCTGCTCGAGTCATGCTCGCTTTGTACCTCAAAGGTATTGTCATCATATAATTTGATGAGCCTAGCTCTTCTGACAAATAGGGTTTTAGGTGGTCGACATGAACCACAACCAAAACATCTGTATTACAACACTGTATTTGATATGTGACTGAATTGATTTTTCTTATGACTTTGTAAGGACCACGCCATCCTAACCCTAACTTTTGCTTTGCCCAAGGAGGATACCACCTCCAAACTAGGTCACCTTCACTGAAAGTTCTGAGTTTTATATTCTGATCATAATATTTTTTCTGACGCTTAAAACTACTTTCAAGACTTTCTCCAGCATGCTGAAATGCAGAAGACATAGCTTCTTTTACGAATTCAGTGTATTCATTGATGCATGATTCTTCATAATTTGGTGGGTTACCAGCAATTATGTCAATAGGGAAGTCTATTTCACGTCCTAACATTAATAAATTTGGAGAACATTTTGTACTTTCATGAAGAGAGGAACGAAAGGCCATCATGACATAGGGCAGATGGTCATCCTAGTCATTTCTATGTTTATTGACAAATAATGAAAGCATTTGTTGTAAAGTACGATTAAATCGTTCCACCATGCCATCTGATTGAGGCCGGTAAGGAGTAGTTCGGGTTTTATATATGCCAAATTTTTCACATAATTCAGAAAACAATTGAGACTCAAATTCTCTGCCTTGATCAGTTTGAATACGGTATGGGGTACCATAGCGACATATAAATTCGTTTATTAGAACATCTGCAACTGTCTGTGCAGTATGGTCTTGTAGAGCAAAAGCTTCTTTCCATTTGGTAAAATAATCGCCTATGACCATTATATACTCTTTATGTTTTTCTGTCATGGGTAAAGGTCCCATTACATCAATGGCAATGCATTGTAATGGTCGGTATGCGGGGCAATGCTGCATCGGTGATTTGCCTGGACCTGGCCCCGGTTAACGCCGTGCACACACAGTGCAATTTTGACACCATCTTTCTACATCAGATGACATACCAGGCCAGTAAAATCTAGCGCGTATTGAAGCTAAAGTTTTGTCGCGACCCAAATGTCCCGCTACACGTTGATTGTGTAATTGATACATAATCTCTTTTCTTATGGACTTTGGTATTATTAGCAACAACCTATTTGTATTCTCAGGTACACATAACCATTGGCGATATAAAATACCACCTTTTACCACAAGGGTGTCTTTCAAATTCCATAACTGACGAATTTCAAAATTGGTCCTATAAACGGGTTATAACGTATCTACCTGGTTTTGTATAATTTCAATCATTGTTTTTAAAGAAGGATCATCAAGCTGGAGTTTTGAAACATGATCATCAGACCATTGGTCTAACCAGTTAGTCGTAACACCGTTTTGATTTTTATTTGAGTTTGTAGAACGTACAACATGTACCCTAGCTTCGGTGCACTCGCAGTTTTCTCGATTACATCTGCGTCTAGGTTTTCTGGACATAGCGTCCGCATTTACATATAAGGAACCTTTACGATGTTGTATATCGAAATCATATGTGTCGAGCACAGAAATCCATCTGGCTATCATACCTTCGGGTTCTTTAAAATTACGGAGCCATTTTAGTGTTTAAATTGTTTTACAAATATTACTACGGCTAACAACTCGCGGTAAGTTGTGCAGTATCTGCGTTTGGTTTTAGATAACGTTTTACTACCGTAAGCAATGACTTTTTCTTCACCGTTCTGAATCTGACATAATACAGCGCCAATTCCATCATTGGAAGCGTCAGTATCGAGTACAAAAGTGTCGACGTCATTACTAGTTGGATACGACAATATTGGCGAAGAAACTAAACGTTTCTTAAGTGTTTGGAATGCATTTTCGCAGGAATTATCCCATTCAAATGGAACGTTCTTTTGAGTTAGTCGAATAAGTGGATATGCCACTGTCGCAAAGTCGGGTATAAATTTCCGATAATAGGAAGCAAGTCCTAGGAAACTTTTTATTTCAGTAACATTGTCTGGGGTCTTCCAATCTTGTACTGCGCGGATCTTATTAGGGTCGCATTTAACGCCACCTTTTGACACAACGTGTCCTAAGAATGAAACTTCTTCACAAAATAAAATGCATTTCTTAGGTTTTAATTTTAGATTCGCGTCTCTAAATCTGTCAAATACTTTGGTCAAATTAGATAAAGTTTCTGTAAAAGTTGTCCCAAAGACAATGACATCGTCTAAGTAAACTAAACAACGTTCCCACTGTAATCCGGTTAACACAGTTTCCATCAATCTTTCGAATGTGGCAGGGCTATTTGTAAGGCCAAAAGGCATAACCTTAAATTGGTATAACCCTTTATGTGTTACGAACGCAGTTTTATGCCTATCATTTTTATTCATGGCCACTTGCCAGTACCCACTTGCCATGTCTAGTGTACAAAAGTACTTAGACCCTGACAACGCGTCTACAGATTCGTCTATACGAGGAAGGGGGTAGGCATCTTTTACTGTTACGTGGTTTAGTGTACAGTAGCCGACGCAGAAACGCGTGCTACCATCTTTCTTTTGAACTAATACAATTGGTGACGCCCATGGAGAACTGCTAGTCTCAGTTATATCTTGGTCTAACATATTTTTAATTTCTTTTTCTGCGATTTCTCTTTGGGCTAGCGGTAATCGTCTGGGGGGTAATTTTACAGGTTTTTTTCTCTCCCGTATTTATAGTATGTTCAACCTTATTTGTACGCCCTAGTTTACCATCTAAACCCACAAATATGTCTTCATATCGGCTCAAAACCGAAGACAACTCATTTTTCTCGGTTTCTGTAATGTTACATGAAACGTTTTCCATCATAATTTTTAGATGATCGGGCAAGCATTTAGTTTCTGTAACGTCAACGTCAGTATGCGTATAATTTTCGTTCTTATTAACCAAATCAGAAGCACTCATAATAGTTTGAATTGTCGCAACTTGCGTGTCTTTCTTCATTTTCACGGGTTCTGGGTTAGGATTAAGAACCGAAAATAGAATGTTTCCCACTTTGACATTTACCAGTGACTTAGGAATCAAGATATTCTGATCTAGACCCTTATCAAAATGAGGTTCCACTATACCCTCTAAACATCTAAAACGTGAGTTTCCTAAATTACACTTTACAAAAGTCTCCGTAGAACCTGGTATGACTGTATCGTCAGCGAGATATACTCGTGCACAGGATAAATTATCCTCACTCTCTAACTGTACTTGAAATTCAGGAAAATCTAATACACCTTTTTTAAGGTCAAATATAACCTCATTTTCTGACAAAAAGTCTAAGCCTAAAATTCCTGAAAGGTCACCTAGCTCTGCCACTATTACAGGTATACTGAATTCTCTATCACCCAAAATAAATGTACTTTCAGTTTGACCATAGACCTGTAACGGTTCTCCGTCAGCTGTTTTTAACTCAGTTGACACCTTTTGTAAAAATTGATCACATAAATCGAAATTATCTAAAACTTCTTTTGATATTAACGAAACAGCCGACCCAGTATCAATCAACATATGCATACAGAATGATTTTATTGATACATTTGCAAACCAACAAGCACCTGTCACGGACGATAGCCTAATGCTTCCGTGTGACCGTATCGGAGACTTAGTTAATGCTTCTGGGACTGAACTTCCGGTCGCAAGGACAGTCCGGTGGCGTTTGGGTTGTTCTTAGGCAAAGGACGTGAATCAGATTTGTTGTTAGTTTGTTTAGGGAAATCGCTATTTCTTTCGGGACATTGTCGGCTAATGTGTCCTGATTTGCCACAGGTATAACACCTGATATTTGAGAGAGTAGAATCTCTGTTTTTAACCGATTTTATCTCATTGACTGCGGTCTGAATTTCTTTCATGGTTTTTGAAAGTTCGGAAAGAACTGAATCGTCGAGCGAGGGTGATTCAAATGTTTTTGAACTATTTTGAACTGCACGTACTGCGGATCTACCAGTTTGGTTTAAGAACAGATCTTGTTCAAAATTATGAGGTTTGGTCAGAAGTTTACTGTGCGCTCCCTCAAACGCTTCAAACTCGACTGCTAAAGATATAGCTTTGTCTAAAGTAGACGGATGTGCAAACTGCACGTATTTCTTAATTTCAAGGTGTTTCTTCGAACCCACCCGAGAGATTTTAGGGTTAGTCCTCGCACACTTTTAGACTGATTTAGATTAGTCCTGCACCCACCTATGATAATTAGGTTAGAGTTGATGCTCATTGAAACACCTTGAACCCAGACATCAATACATTTTCTTTGTATCTGGATTTCTGAACCGTATATATATCAATGATTTGCTAGAAAAAATGAAGATAAAATAAAACTTTCGTTTTATAATACTGGTTTACCAAATACAGGTAAGATTGAACCTATTTCAATGACGTATCCTTATTTATATCATCATATTTAGTTTATTTCTCAACAGCACAGCAAGCCCGATTGGTAGTATTTTTTTTCCTTTTGATTGACAACAACTATATGAATTGCACATTATATAATTCTTCACTATGGAAAGTATATTGGTAAGCTGTAACAAGGACAAACTTTTTTTTATCTCTCGGAGTATTTGTTTCTAAACAATTTTTTTGCAGTTCGGAATGTTGTTATACAGTAACAAAAATAGTCCCAAAAAAAAGACTCGTTTTTCTGTAAATAAACTTTTGATATTGAAAATATTCATATGAAAATTCTAATAAAGAGATTTGATCACATAGATTTGGTTATAAAGATAATTAACTCTCTCAAAGATTTGCCCTGAATTCACATTGCACGAGACAGAAGGTAAATAGCATTAGCAGTGTCATATTACAGGCTTCCTGATAAAAGTTCAAAAATATCATGTTTCCTTTTAAGTTTCACGATATTAAATTAGTTTTTGATGCATTCTGATTTCTGGTTTTTTTTTTTACTTTACTTCCGTTCTGTTTTCTGCACTTCATTTTATTTCTAGTTTTTCATTTCGTTTTCTTATCTCTGATTTAAATTAACCGTGTTTGGTTTCTGTGAAAGTATGTGTAATTTCGCAACAATAGCAATATTTTAAAAGGCTTTAGGTTTTGTAAAGGTAAGAATAATATAGGGAAGTAAAAATAAGATTTAACAATGCACATTGACAAGCTACCTTGTTTGTATATTTTGTCGAAAATCTGTGTCAAACATGAACATGCAATTGCTGTAGCAACCTTCTTTGTATATTTTGTCGAAAATCTGTGTCAAACATGAACATGCAATTGCTGTAGCAAGAGTTTATCATGAAGCATTAAATTCTTGCCTTGTCGAATTGAAGTTTTGTAATTATTATTTGTGGTACATAGAACTATTCCTGGATATGACACATGCTTTTGTTCGGCCCCTACCAGAGAATTCGAAGGAAACTAGATTTCCTTCTTGTCTGCCCATCCGACTGTCTGTCCTTCTGTCATTCGGTCTGATTAAGTCTGACCGTATGGTTTTCCGCACTTTATTTTTATCAGATACTTCTTATCAATAAAATCTTAGATTGACAAGCTTGTACTCTATGTTTCGCGCAGTGAAAAGTATTTAAAATTTGACGATATTGTGCTAGAATCGAGAAAAATCGAAAAGATATCCAAATTTACAACCTCTTGTGCCCCCCCATGTACTCCTTAAATCAATATTTTACAGGTTTTTAAAACAATCAGTATTGACAAATGAAATGCTACAGTTTTAGCTTTGTTTTGTTTTTATAATTACGATCAACAAAATTTCTTCATTTGATTAAAAATATCTGAAACGTATGAATGTATATTAACTTGATATGAATATACAATACTATTCCTTAAAATCAATGTATTTATATTGCTGAGAAGACAATATTTATTGCTGTATACTGAATCAAATTATATTTTTAAGTAAACTGATAAGATAAAATTAGTGATAAAATTTGTTTGCTCTCAAAGTTTAGATAATAACAATTGTTCAATTTTTTTTATCCTGAATATTTATTTTGGTTCAAGGCGATATGTAAGGCGTTTGAGTCTGACCTGGCATCTATAGAATCTAGTGACGAGAACCTTCTCATCGAGGGCTATTTACAAACCAAGCATCCTCATGGTAAAACATTTCATTTAATATTTCATGGAGCACAATAAACTATATTTTTTATTGTGACAAGCTTTGCTTTTAGACCTTCACAAGTGGAGTATTTGGTATATTTCGTGCCAATATATAAGTTTTAAGATTTTTTTTTTACCAAACCACCAGAAAGGACCGATATGACCCGCTAATATTAGACGTCTTCTTTCTCTGTATAAACAGGTGAGAGTAAATAGTGGTATTGCGTTTGTATAATAATTGGGAGGTCTATGTCTCATTCTTGTTCACTTTGCCGCGTCAAACCTAGGAAGCAACTTTATATAAGTAGTGACTTAAACTTCACCAAGCGCCCGTCAATAGAAGAAAGAGTATCGTGTCTACTGATGTCACTTTTTTATTTTATGCAGTCTTAATTGGGAATGCCATATGGTTTAAAAATTATACCTATTCTCTACAGACAATGACAAAATAGCCGCGGACTACTGGATCGGAGGAAATGACATCGAGGCCGAGGGTCAATTTAAATGGATTGGATCGGAGCAGCCGTTTACGTTCACCTACTGGATGACAGGACAACCGGATCCCTCGGAACAGGATTGTGTCGAGATCCGGGGAGTTAACAACTTCCGGTGGCATGACGAAACGTGCACCCATCAGCACCGCTTTATTTGCGAAAAGCCGTAAGGAAATATTACTGTGCAGCTTCATAAATGAACTCTTCATGATTAATATTTTAGGATTCGAGGGGAAATAATATCATATTTTAAAATGCTATTGTTTGCATATTTTCTTGCTAAATAAGGTGTTGCCCTGATTCCAATCATTTAATGTCAGTTGCAAGTAGATTTTCCTTCATGTTTTTCCTTTTCTGACATAAAACAGAAAATTCCAGTGTATCTATCGTTTAATGATTTAAGTATGAAAAAGTATCAGTATGTTGTGTTTAACAGAAATAAGCTTTCTTGTTTTTTTTTCTAATTGCAAAAAGTGTCAAATTACCCCAATGTAGCTCAGGTACAGTATAATTGAGTTCACCGAACAAAAATAAATCCTTTAAAATTTCTCATTTCAACATTTTGAGGTAAAATAAACATCATTTTGTGCAAAGTAATTCTTATCAAAATGTTGGGCTATGCCTCATGAAAATGTGTCAATCTGAGAAATTTGCGGCAAAGAAGACTAAGCTGAATGCATGAAATACTATGTAACTCTCTAAACTCAAAATACTTTACACTGCATGTAATTCTTTAATTCTTAAGTAACAGTCCATGGAAAAAAATATCAATAAAAGTAATTTAACAATACAACATCTAATTGTGAAAAAAGTCCTATTCCGAGAAACATGTCTAATTTAAGTTGAATACGTTGGAATAAAACCATTTTGTGTTGATGTTATAAATATATAAAGTGAGATTTAATTGTTGATGTGTGAATTGTATACAGATGTTAACTAAATACGAATGGGATTTTTTTGTTTCAGGATGGGTTCTCCGCCAGATATCAATGTCATCGGCTGAACCTTCTGACGTCATTATCGTGTGCAATTAAAAGTAAATATTTAAAAAATGAGGGTACTTGTTTTCAAAAAGCAAACGGGTTAAAAAAAGTATTTGCATAGGGCTGTGTTAAACATGCAATTTTAGAATTTTAGAATTCAATGTCGCTTATGCATTTTTTAAAACTCTTAATGGTCAGGGTCTTTTTTTTCCTCCTGACTGGTTTTAACTGCGTTGATTTATAAGGTAGATCCGAGCTGTCAAAAAATTCTACTGAACTAATTTTTGCCCATCTGAATACCTTAAATAAACCATAGACTTACTTTTAAAAACCATTAAAAACATGAATTTGCATGTTATTTTAAAAAAACCTGTCGCAGTGTACATATCTCTCTTTTTTCTTGTATAATGACCTTTGATTTTATATACAATTGAGTTCTACACTACATCACATTATATTTATATCAAAACGTAAACAATCCAAAAAATCATTAAACAAAAATCTTTAAAAAAAGAGAAAAAAATTATGTTAAATATGCGAACGTTCTTTAAAAAAATCAAAATTACTTTTGATAGACAAGAGAATACTAGAGTCTTCTAATCGATGCGTAACTTTAATACCGGATGCGGAAGAGCATGTTTCTTTTTATACTCGCATTAAGGACAACGGATACAAACAAAATAGCACAAAAATCCTTAAGATAACAAGCTGAACTTTATTTCCTAGTATTTCAGTAAAATGAATCAGTTAAACATCACTGATTTTAATTTTTCATTCAATGTTTCACAAAAATGGGACTTTTTTTTCTATCTGGCAAAACAAAATTGTTAAGATAAAGAAGGATGGTTTTTAATTGCAAAAAGGTTTAATTTTGACCATCGTATAAAGTTTAAATATTTTAGACATTTGAGTTTCATTATTTAAAACCAAAAAAAGTAAAAAAATAATTTTATATATTAACGAAGGCATCAATATATTTTCTTTGTATCTGGCTTTTTGAACCGTATATGTATCATTGATTTGCTAGATTAGAATTAAGGTAGAAAACTTTGTTTCATAATACTGGTTCACCAAATAGTGGTAAGATTGTACCTAATCCTACTCATTTCAATGACGTTACCCTATTTGTATCATTAAATTTAGTTTATTTCTCAAATGCACAGCAAGCCCGGTTCACCGTTGGTATGATTTTTTTTTTACAATAAAATGAATTGGAAAAATATTATTCAAGAGTATATTGGTAAGCTGTAACATGGACATAAATTTGTATTTTTCATGTTTCAAATCATTATTTTTGCAGTTCGGAATGTTGTTATACAGTAACTAAAATAGATTGTCTCCAGAAAGGACAACTTGTTGTTTTGTTAATAAACTTCTGATATTGAAAATATGTTCATATGAAAAATTCTAATAAAGAGATTTGAACACACAGATATGTATGTAAATATAATTAACTCCCTCAATGGTTTGCCCTGAATTCACATTAAACAAGACAGTATGTCATTAGCAATGTCAGATTACTGGCTTCCTACTAACAGTTCAAAAATACATGTCTCCTTTTAAATTTCACGGTTTTAAATTAGTTTTTGTTACATTCTGATATCAGAATTTATATCTTTCTCTTTTCTTTACTTCCGTGTACATTTCTGCACTTTATTTTATTTCTAGTTTTTTCACTTCCTTCTGTTATCTTCGATTTAAATTAACCGTGTTTGTTTTTGTGAAAGTATGTGTATTTTCGCAACAAAGGGAATATTTTAAAAGGCTTGAGGTATTGTAAAGATAAATTCAAGAATAATATAGGGAAGTACAAATAAGATTTAACAATGCATATTGACAAACTTGCGTGTATATTTTGTCGTAAATTGGTGTCCTGCATATAATTGTTGTAGCAAGAATTTATCGCGAAGCATAAAATTCTTGCCTTGTCAAATTGAAATTGTGCAATTTTTATTTGTGGTACATGGAACTATTCCTGGATGTGACACATGCTTTTATTACATATGTAGTCCCCTACAAGAGAATGCGGAGGAAACTAAAGATTTCCTTCGCGTCTGCCCGTCCGATTAATATTGTCTGTCCCGCTGTCATTCGGACGGAGTATGTTTGCCCCTTATGGTTTTCCGCACTTTTTTTTTTATCAGATACCTATCAATTAAATCTTAGATAGGCAAGCTAGTATTTTATGTTTCCCGCAGTGAAAAGTATCTAAAATTTGACGATATTCTGCTACAATCGAGAAAAATCGAAAGGATATCCAAATTGGCACCCTCTTGTGAACCCCTGTACTCTTTAAATCAATATATTTGCAGCTTTTTAAAACAACCAATTTATATTGAAAAAAGATATGCCACAGTTTTAGCTTTGGTTTGATTTTAAAAAATATAAGGGACCAAATTCAGCCATTGTAACACCGTGTCTTTTAATTTGTAAAGTTTATCTTCCCATGACTCTCTTCAGCAAATTTTTTTTTATCACAAGTTAATTTGTATTAAATGCATATGTGTATCATCGTAGGTATAGAAAAAAAAAATAATGTTCGACTTTGTTCCCTGTAAATATCGCTTATCATGCAAGGTACACTCTGGTTTGATTACTCATTCCAAATAAACCAAGAAATTGAAAACTCTTCCTTTAGCTGTTTGCTATATGTGTTGCAATTGCAAACATAAGATTTATTTTCTTTCTGCACGTTATCGGATCACGCAATTCCTTCAGGTGACTAAACAATTGTTTAAAAGCATAGACCACCGTACAATTTTTTTTTATATTGCTCTAACACTTGAACATTTAAAACTTTAATTTTCATACATTATACATGTAGGTAAACGTAATAACAATTCACTGTGATTTACAGGTACTGCCTAAAATATAAATCTGGCATCCTAGCTACTTCCTCATATAAATTACATAAAACCCCTATATTCTCAATAATATTTACTCAAACTATTTTTTTTTCATTTTAAAAGGCTTTCAAAAATAAGCATTTGCAATTAGTTTTTTTGGAATAAATATGAATTATAATTCGTCTGTGTTTTCCATTTCATGTTTCACAGATTAACATGTCTTACAGGGGATGAAATTACAGTATTAACTGTAATGACCTACATGCAGTTGACTTAAAATTTTCTCCATCATAATTTTTAAATTTACACAAATAGCCCTTAATCGGTTCTCTTTAAATAAGAAGCAGTCAAGCGCTCAGCCCTGGAGAGGCATTTGTATTAAGACGTTAAGATGTAAAACTATACCTACTGTCAATTAACTTCCTGGTTGAAAACTTGTCAAAAACTGAAATCTATTTATTGGTGACCTCTGTCGACGAGATGTATGCATTCTAGGGTAAGATTAAAATGCATTTGTTTCAATTAATGGTGAAGGTTTAATGTAATTAATTTCATATTTAAAAAAAAATACAATTTATCGAGTTTCATTTTTTCCTCTCATGCAGTGCTATATTTAGGAGTTTTAAATTGTCATCTTAAATATTCATATATTTATTCAATGCAAGCGTTCAAGTTATTTACAGTCAGACACTATTAAGTTTTAGCTTTTATCTGCATTTCACAATTGTGTAAATAAATGTGTCTAAATAACAAGGGAGATAGACTACCTAATAAGGTTTAAGCCTATAGACTGACAAATCATTTGAATATCTGTGATCAACGTATAATTCAACAATTTTTGAATTACACGAAACGTAAAGGACTTCAATTTGTAATTTTTTTTCTCTGGACCATGCAGTAAGCAAAAATGATTTTGTTAAAGGTCTAATTAAAAGGACTACGGACTGTATCCGAACAGCTGATAACTTGACAAAAAAGTCAAAGGGTTGACGAAGTGCTGCAAACAAGTATCGAGCTCTAGCCTTTGGATCACAATGTGAACGCTAAATAACTAGTGCACCCTGACTTCTTAGGTTAAGTCAATAAGCTTTTTATAAAGCCTGCAGTTTAAAGGTAAACCCTTTCAGGATTGATTATAATTGTTGTTTTATGCCGAATCGGTAGTATTTTAGTCATATTTCGGCACTGAAACTACAAGGAACCTCTTAGTAAAAAACTTTTTTTGTACAGTGGCGTGCCAAAAGTGAAGATAATTTTATTTTTTCTCTTTATATTTCATTGAAAACAACATTTTGTAAAATCATAGGTAAATGGTCAATTTTTGTCCAATTTAATTATTTATTTCAGTACTTAAACCAGAAAATGTGTAGTTATCTTTCTTCAAAAGTTACACGTTTAATATATAGTAAAATATAGTTCATCACTAAACATCAGTTCTAAAATTCAAGATCAATGTTGACTATATAATTCATTGTGAATATAAGACTTAAAAATTCATGTCACACTTAAATTACAATATTTTTAAATTATCAATGATCATCAGATAAATACTATTGTTGTTTTTAACTACAACAATTTCTTGGATTATCAAGAAATTTTTGATAAAATCTGTCAAGAAATGTTGTCATACCAGCGATTTTACAAAATATTGTTTTCAATGAAATATATAAAGAAAAAATAAAATTATCTTCACTTTTGGCACACAACTGTATCTTATGTTATGTTATATCGAATGATTGCAAGCTTATTATATTAAAAACATGTATTATATTTTTTACAGAATGAGAAGAATGTTTCTCAGTGTCATCTACGTCATACTGTATGCAACTTGTTCATGTGCATATCGTAAGGAAAGGAGATTTTTTGTTAATTCAATTTTGCTAATTGATAAAATATGCTAGTCTTTTTTTTTTATTTCCTGACTTAATATTTATATATTTCATTAACTGGGAAGTTACTGTAATAGTGAAAATAATTTTTTTTTCAAAATACCTTAATTCGTTCTAGCGTATGCTAAAGCAAAGAGAAGATGAGGATGTCATTCTGTATTCACTTTGTGCAATTCCTTATTGAAAATGATGAACTTAAATGAATAAATAAAAGATCGGTTGAAATAAGCATGTTTTGATATCTTCATAACTGCTTCACAAATGCCTTCATACATTGTATATATTTAATTTTTAAAATTTGTATAGGAAGCAACAAACTCAAACTGCATCAATGTTTTTGTCTCTTTGTACATGTATTAAAAGAGCAAAAATTTTCACACGGGAAAATACGCCTGTATATAAATATGTATATTCTAAACTGCGTTCTATTAATAAAAAAAAAATTATCATCTTTTTACAGACAACTTAGCATTACGGAAACCTTCCTGGCAGAAAACCAAGTTTTCACAATCCTGGGGTGCAGACAAGGCTGTGGATGGGAAGTATACTGACCGTGGAGCACTAGGTAATCAGTGTACAATATCAGCAAACAAAGAACAAACAGCCGAGTGGAGAGTGGATCTAGAGAGTGTCGTCAGCATCAGTTACATCAACATCTTCTACAGAACGGATAATCTACCAAGTAGATAAAAAAAAGTTCAGAAATATATACGAGGGGTGATCAAAAAGTTTCCGAACTATCTCTTTATCTACAAAACCACAATTCTGATTAGAAAAAAATTGATACACTCATAGCCATACACATGTGCAAGCAGAATAGTGATAGATGTGCATTAAAATTAGAGAGGACAACTTTAAAATATAAAACAATGAAAACTAATATTGCTTCTTTTATAGAATTAGTTCGCGAACTTTTTGATCACCCCGCGTACAACTATTAATTGTGTATTTTTCAAGATATTAAATTTTAATCTACATGAAAAGACAAATACTACCATTTTTGAAACTTGGAAGTCTATGCAATTATTTTTTATATAATATAAACGATAGCCGATGTCGTGTAAACAACCGAATCACGGTGGAGATATATATTTTCTAAATATATATGTTGGTTTATTGTATTGATCCGAAAGGAAAGTTCATACACTTCCTCTAGCGTCACAAGAAAGAAACAAAATCGCCAGGGATTCTTACTATATGTGAATGTTCGTTATATGGACAATAATGATTTATAATAAACACCAGTTACAGTTGAATGCAAGAGAAAATATTTTTGCTACGTTTTTTTTGTTTATATTTTTATGCTTTCAACTTTGTATTCAATGTTTGAAATTGCCGAAAAAGAAAACGTTACCTTTCTAAAAGCATAACCATTAATGATAAGCTCCAGTATTAGTTACCTGATTCATACAATTTATAGCTTAATAAAAATTTAATAGCTACCGGTGTAAGCTAGAGTTAATATATATGTATAAAAAAAGATGAGCATTATATCATTTTCCAACGAAATCTGAAATATTTTCTGTGTTTTTTTTTCAATGTAGGCCCTAGTGTTTACGTGCCAAGATTTGCTGGGTTTTTCCTCTATGTTTCAAATACAACGTCCAAATCAGAAGGACATCTGTGTTTTCATGAGATACAGACCGTTCACGGTACACCTGTAGAGGACCAGATGATCAACTGCTCTGTACATGGCCGTTATGTCATCTTCTATAACGAGCGTAATAATCCGGATGTAACTTATCCCAATTACTACTCCCAATATGCGTTCAGTGAATTATGTGAACTGGAAGTATACGGTGAGGTGATATAGATTACTCAATATATTTGTGTAAGTTTCAAATATAAAAAAAAAACCACATATATATGTGTTCAATATTTTCTGTGTTTTATGAGATATTTCTTGAAGTAAGAATTTTTGCATTCATCCAATGGAGCTAAAATAGTTTAATTCTTAAGCAGGGTGCCCAATTCCTGGTTATTTTGGGAAAAATTGTAACCGATTGTGTCCAGAGAAATGTCAGGGACAGCAGTGCGATGCAGTAACCGGTTATTGTGTGAATGGTTGTTTATCAGGATATGCTGGTGTACACTGTAGTTATGGTACGTTTCCTCCAGTCCCTATTCAATATGTTTATGTTTTCCTTGTTTTCTAATCAGGAAGAAAGTTTTAAGATGGTTATTAACGATTCTTACTAAGTTATTGGTAAGATTGATTGTATATTGTTTAATATGCCTCTCATATTTCACTCATATGAAGACGCCACCACTTGACGGTGGAGAGCTGCAAATTTTGTCCTATACTTGGCACTCAGGGTCATTGAGCAAGGAGGGATCTTTTTCGTGCTAGCACCTTCTGCAACACGAGAC